TCCATATGGATACAGCCAAGCACTCTGTCCAAGGCTATGATGGTTCTCTCTATGCCACCGTATTTGTGGATGGCAAGTCTCGTTTGAGGGAGTACTGCCCTCACGAGAAGAAAGGGGAAGCTTCCGACCAAGCCATTCGCTACTGTGAATACGCTCACACCCAGTACGGGCGTTATCCAAAGCGATTCCGAATGGATAGTGGTTCTGAATACGCGAGATTCAAGCAATGGGGAGCTGAACGTGGTATCCTGTTCGAAGTCAGCGCTCCATACACTCCCGAGCAGAACGGAGTGGCTGAGAGATCCTTTGGCGTTATACACGCTCTCATTCGCAGTATTATGAAGGATTCCGGGCTACCTGAAGCCCTTTGGCCGGTTGTTGGACCTGCCGTATGTGATAGGCTCAATGTGAGCTATACATCTTTCCTCCAGGGAGTTAAGAAGACTCCCTTTAAAGTTTTCTTTGACGATCTGAACCCTGGAAAGGATAACAAGCCTGATTTGACGAATTTACTGTCAATTGGGCAGGCCGCTGTGGTCCATTTGCCGCAGCAGCGCCGCCCTAAGGGAGACAAGACCACTCCACACGCAAGGAGAGGTCGTATTCTTCGTTCCCTTGGTTCCAACCAGTACCAGGTGTATCTTACACACCTGAGAAAGGTTGTGGTTACTGCCCATCTTGAGATTTTGGATGGGTATGTACTTTCAAGGGATTTGATCCACATCTTTCCAAACTTCCGTGGTACACTCGATGACTATGAGACAACCAGACCCAATGCTAAAGATCTGCCAGCGCCGTCTTCACCAGACGGCGCTCACGATCCTTAGCATATATATATCGAGTCAGATAACGGAAGGGATGGTAGAGATGATTCACCCCAACCAGTTGTCACGTTAGGGACCCCTCTTGGGTCCCCTGACGCTTCTGATAATGATGATAGTCATCATTCTGACTCTGGATATAGCAACCCTGAGCCTAGTACTGCTCTAGCTGACTCGATTCTTCTATCATCTGAACCACCTCGTCAAGAAGTAGCCCCAACGGCTGCTCCGAGGTCAAGAATCCAATCAGGGCTCAACCCAGAGAATGTACTCTCCGGAGGGCGCACTCGGAGGACTCACAACCACTACGTGGCCGAGTCTTCCACCCCTAGCATATCTCCACATGTTACGATCGAGGCATCTTATGCCAATTGGCCGTCTTCTGACCCTGATCAGGCACTTCCCCGTAATGACGAGCCTTTTAGCTACAAAGAAGCCATGGAGTCTGCCGAGGCACCTCAATGGCTGGATGGCACTCATACAGAGATACGGGCGTTGCTGCGCAATAATACCTTCATTCCTTTGTGGAGGTCTGATCTGCCTGCTGGGCGTAAAACTCTCTCTAGCCGCAATGTCTATAGGCGGAAGAGGGACTCTGACGGCAACACCTCTCGGTACAAGGCTAGGGTGGTTGTACGAGACTTCATGTAACGCCATGGCCTCGACTATTTCGAAACCCAGGCCTCAGGCGCTCGTACTACCACCTGGAGGCTCCTTCTAGCCATTGCTGCCGTTCTGGACTGAGAAATTGACCAGATGGATGCTGTATCTGCCTTCCTGATGGGAGAACTGGATAAAGAGATCTTTATGGAGACATCTGATGGTCTCTCTGACTTCTTTGAGATGTATCCAGATAAGAATACTATCAACTGGAGACCTGGCATGATTATGAAGCTTGCGAAACCGCTATATGGGCTCAAGCAGAGCCCCAGGCAGTGGCAGAAGCGCATTCGCAGCGTTCTGAAGGACCTCGGATTTGACCCTCTGGTCTCTGACAACGCAGTCTATGTCAACATCAGCCGTGGCATTATAATGATCAGCTATGTCGATGATTTCCTCATTTTGGGGGCTAATCATGACGAGATCGCTGCCTTCAAAAAGGAACTAGGTTCTACATTTGAGATGAAGGACATGGGAGCTGCTGAACACTTCCTAGGAGTCTATATTGTCAGAAACCGAGCTGAGAGGACATTATATCTCTCTCAACAGACGTATGTGAGAAGGACTGCAGAGGCATTCAACCATCAGAACACTGGCAAGATGAACGTGCCGATATCTCCTCAAGCAGTGAAACAGATGGAGTCCCTAAATAACGACCTTGAGATCGATGCATGTCCTATTCAGACCTACCAGTCCCTGATCGGTTCTGAGAATTTCCCTGCGTCATATACAAGACCAGATATTGCATACTCTATGGGTGTTCTCTCGCGATACCTCCACAATCCTGGTTCAGCCCAATATAAGGCCGCTCTGGGCCTATTTCGTTATTTATGGCACTCTCAAGATCTTGGGATCAAATTTGGAGGTCCCGAATATGTCGGGAAGACCCCCCAAGAGGTTCTTGAGATGATTCCGGATCTGCTGATTGGTTACTGTGATGCCAGCTATGCTGGAAGCATCAAAACCAGCGCCAAGTCCACCTCAGGCTACCTGTTCACGTTTGCTGGGGGCGCTGTCTCCTGGGCATCCAAGCTGCAGACTGTTGTGGCTCAATCTACTGTGGAATCAGAGTACTACGCACTCTCTGAAGCCGTAAAAGAGGCTGCCTGGCTGCGAGAACTGATACTGGAACTTGGATTCATTCTAAATGTTATTAACATCCATTCAGACAGTGCTGGAGCTATTCACTTGGCTCAGAACGCTGAATTCCATCGTCGAACTAAGCATATTCGAGTCAGGGAACACTACATTCGTCAGGAGATCTTGGAAGGCCATATACGGCTCTCTTTCCTTGGAACCAATGAAATGCCTGCAGACGGTCTCACCAAAGCTTTGACAAAGGTAAGGTTCTTTAAGTTTCTGGAGTTGCTAGGACTGGTTCATGTAGAGGGGTGATATTCTGGTTATGTTAATTCCCTCAGTCTGAGAGGGCGTGTTGGATTCTGGGCTACGTTAGCCCATCCATAGTCATCCTTCAGGATCACCATCCCCATTTGTGACTCTGTCACATACGTGGCCAATATAAGGCCACGTATCCTTTCCTTTAGTATCTTGGATATATATAGGGCCATTCTGGCCGCTCCAGAGTAGCTGAAATTCCTCTCCTTAATAGAACACTTTGAAATCTAACATTTCTCTAGCCAGCCTTATTTCCTGGATTTGCTCCCATGTGTGCTTGTGGGTGATGCCTTTCACAACCTTGGGGCGTGCAGGGCATTTGTCGAAGTTGGCAGCATGAGGTCCTTTGCAGTTGACACACTTTGGGATTGGTTTTTCGCACTCTCCCTGGTGTACTGTGTTAGCGTAGTGTGCACATACTTGCTTTTCACATCGGTAGTTCCTACCATGGTATCTGAAGCAGCTCGCACATTGGTGAACCTTTGGGGAGTATTGAATATGCCTTGAGGTGATTGAGTGAGCAAAAGGCGTGAATGGTTTCTTTGCTGCACGGGGCAGAGAGATCACCTATGTGGTCTCCAGATCAGAATCAACTGTGTTCCTTGAGAGTATGCACCTTAAAGGTCTGTCACTTGTTTGGGCTTTAACTTCATCAGTAACAGCAATATCGGTAATGTCAATTGTTAATCTTTCCGTATTGATGACCTTTCTTGGGCATCCATCGACCTTATAGTGATACCAGACCGTGTGGATCTCGATCTTTTCTGCCTTGAGAATATCGGTGATTTCTTCTTGTAAGGCCAGGAGCTTAGCCTGAGTTGGCTTGTCCTTTGGGTGTAAGGTAAATCCAGAAGGACACCGTGTCGCTTCTCTAAGCTCCTGAGGGTGGAGCTTAAGTCTTCTGTTCAGTGTAGACTTGATTCCATAAGGCTCTAGGTGGCTATTATCCATGCGGACAAAGACCCGGAGATCATCCTGCTTCTTCTTTAGTTGGTTGGTAGTGATGAGGGCGCCAGGCTGTGTTTTCTTCATGGTAGTGTTGACTGTCCATGGATACTGTCGTTGGCCAGAAGAGACAGCTTGGGCGAAGGTCATGGTGGGCTTCCCTATCCCTATCCCGCCAGGAGTGGTCTTCCTTTTGGGCGGATCTCAGGTTTCCAGCCACTCGCTCAGATATTTAGAGAAGAAAGCGCTGAACTCCTTGGCATGAGAGTATAGTTCGGTTCCAGCTTTCTCAAATGTCTTATCAATCGCTGCAGCACACTCTTGAAACATTGTTATCCTGGTTTTATAAAGGTGCTTGTCTTTAGCCAGTATTCTTACAACTTGGTTCTGGCATTCTGAGGAGGAGGTTTTATTCCCTATATCGCGTGTAATGGCTTGGTCTGTCGAGATTTTGTTCAATTGAGGTCGTTTCATTCCAATAGTGCTGCTGTCATTGACATTTCGGGATTTTCCTTTCAGTGGGGAAATAACGGTAAAGTCAGCCTCAGAGACCTGTGACGGGCTGCTGCTGATGTCGTCAAGCAGCGCCTGGCGGAGCCTGCTCGGAGTTGCCAGGCCGTATATCTTTCTAGGGGCCGGGGATTTGAGCACGCCACCGGTGGTCGTCTTTGGGACGGCCACGGGCGTGTTTGGGGGCCCGTTGTGGAAGGGTGCCATCCGGCTTGTGAGAAAAATTCTCTTGTGCCTTGGCAGAGATAGTCAATTACTAAGAGAAATGCCTATTTTAGTGCAAATATTAAGGTTGCGCCCTAACAGCGGGGCGCCAAGAAAAATAGTTGTTTTTGGCAAGAGTGTGTCCCCTTCGTTCCGACTGGTCTGTCTGGTATGTATCTTATTATTTTTGGGGTCCATGACAGCTGACAGGTCGACCCATCAACCAATGTGTGACTATCCGTTGCTTCGGTAATTGAGGATGCATGGTGCATGCGTAAGGGGAGACCAGGGTTGTGACAATGGTCCAACCGCATGTCTGCATCATGCTCCCTGGGATGTCGGGTAAAGGGGCAGTTTGATGCAGCGCAGCACCAACAACCAACACCAAATGAAACCACACATTGATAAAACCAAGACCACACCGCATATCGCAACGACAGTAGAGGCCAATTGGTAGTCACGATGGTCTTATCAACGCACGCTGCTATGCCCGCATCCAGAGGCACAATACTCCTGACGGGCGCAAATGGCGGTTTAGGGTCCGCGATCGTCTCGAGGATTATCTCCATGCCCGAATTCCGGCATCACCACGGTATCTACACCCTACGCAATGCCAACAGCTCCGCATCTGTGCTTGACGTCGTTCTGGAAAAAGCGGCATCGCCCACTTCATCCGCTACACCAGCCCATACCCACGAGAAGATATTCCTCGACTTTTCAAAGCTTGACACCGTTCGGGAAGTAGCATCGTCCCTCAATCAACGGGTGGCAGCCGGCCAAGTGCCGCCGATCTGCGCTATCATCTTGAATGCGGGCTACGAGGAGTTTCGGACGCAGACGTGGACTGAAGACGGGCTAGACACGACGTTCGTGAAGAACTATCTCGGGCACTGGCTGCTGGTGTTGCTTCTGCTTCAGAGTATGGATCGTGAGAAGGGTCGGGTGGTGTGGATCAGCATTTTCTCGCACAAGTAAGTTCTCCTTGTGCACAATCTGCAGCGCAACAAAAAGCTCAACTTTGACTTTACAGCCCGAAAGACCCTCGTAGCGTGTTTATTCGGTCGCATGATGAGGACAAATACAAGACCGTGATCTCAAGAAGACTTGGAGCCGTTGGCGGAGGGCACCTGGAGCCCGAACCCCCTCCACATGATGCTTTCCAGGCCATGCCTCATGCTTACACGAGGTTTTCGCCTCTTCGAGAGGCGTCATGCCTACATACAGACCTGCGAAGTGGGCGCACTTGATTCCCTCGGTGTCATCAACTCCATTCGTAGGATCTAGGAACTTCTAGGAACTTTCAACCAGCGGGACCACAACGTATTCTCTTGAAAGTGGCGAGACTGATCCGTCAGAAACTGGGGTTGAACCAATTGAACAACACGCACACCTGAGTGGGTACGTACTATATATATATTCCTAAAGGGTGGATATAACTGGCTCCAATCCCCTACTTCAGCCTCAAGACACGTGTGCGGGGCCGACGATAGGACGGTAAGGGTTGCGACGAAGGATGGAATTGTTCGAAAATAGGTGCAAATCCCTCCAAGATTAGCACATCCACCGCATCATGAATGGAGCTACGCGGCCATGCCGTGTCGAATTGTCGGTGGCACCAGGCCTCCATCGTGGACCCCAACGCTATCGCCTTGTTCATCCTGGCTGTAGGTTTACACAGGTTCACACAGGTGGCACCTTAGAACCGCCACCCTCTTGTGACGCAAGTGAACCAAATATATTCCTTTACGTCAGCTATTGGCTATATAACCTTCCAGAACATCTCCTTCATGGTCCTCCTCAGATTCCAAAGATAGACACAGTTCCAAGACACCAATATACCTCAACACATACCTTACCATTTCCCTCGATTCAGACCTGCGCTTTACGACCAACCCAAAGCTTTGTTAGTCAATTTGCCTTATGGATCCGTGGTCTTCTCCTGGAAGCCGGTGCACTAACTGCGACCTCAGATTTAATGTTCGGCCAGATGAACCTCACCAAGCTTGCGCTGCTTTCAGTAGCAGCGACCAGCGCCCACGCCGCGTGGCAACTCAGAGGGTATAATAAGGACGACTTGGAGGTGTACCTACGAGGCGACAGCGGCCCGAAGACTGATCCCATGGAGTGGACTGGCCAGGGCATGGGTGGCTCGACGGGCATAGAGGCAACGTTCACGAAGAACGAAAACGTCAAAGTTTGGTTCTTCGCAAGGAAAGAAGATGCCAAGGCCAGAGACTACAAAAAGTTGGTGACAATGGAGCTGGAATACGACGACGATCGGCTGGCTACGGATGGAACGACAAACTGGTACATCATTGTCAAGGGTAGTGAGAAATTGGAGACGGACTGGGCATAAGCAACTGTTCCCTGGTAATAGTGGATAGCAGAGACGGCTTGGACTAGTTATATCTCATCTTCATCATCATCTAGCGGAAGCGGTCGTAGCAGCTCTTTGCAATGTCGTCTAGAAGCTGACCTTTCGTGACGCTGCACCCACACCCCTTGGGTTCGTCCAATCGCGATGACGTCCAGGACGCATCCTACTAATATGTTAAGGATATCCGCTGGCATCTGGGCCGGCGGGTAAGTGCTGTTAGAAGAATGAGCCAGGCCTACAAGTCCTCTAAACAGTCATTGTTTGTTTGTTTTGTATTTAACGTGGGGGTAGCTCCTCAGTAGTGCAAACCACGCCTCCCAGAGCCTCTGCATCACAGGGTTGTGGAGGTCTCAAGATAATAAGTACAGTCAGTCCCGCTCACGGGCCCATCCCCGTTGTTGCGGCGGTATGACCTTGGGGTCATCCATCTGGTCCTTCAAGGAAGGCTATCTATCAGGGGCAGATTGTTGAAAAGAACTTGCTCTTCTCCACGAATTTTGCCCATTCTGTGCTCCTCTCCCCTAAGTATTGTAAACAAGCTGCCCTAGGCGAATGCCTAGGCAGTAGCCGATTTTTCCCCAGCCTCTTACAAAAGAAAATGTGTTGTGGTGTTTTTTTCTCACCACAGCTGCAGTGATCATTTGAGTCTGTGTGCCCAAAGCGTTCATGGTATCTGGCAAAGTCGCCATGTCCAGATCTGGCCGCTAGAAGTCTGTGTAAAGTACTCCTCTTAAAAGATATAAGGTCTCTTTCAGTTACTGCATGTGAGTATACTTCTTGATACCTAGATTCAGATTGGTCTTTCCACCATTGGTTGAACTCTTTCTTGCCCTGTCTTTTAAGATCTCTCTTGACCCAAGAGATTGTAGGAAGATTTGTTGTGTCTGTTTCCAGCATGGCACCCTCTTTTGCTAGTGTGTCGGCAGCTTCGTTGCCATCAATATCTCTGTGTCCAGGAATCCATTTGACGGTCACTCCAGGAGTGTGTGCTGTGGCAAGTTCTTGAAATCGTAGAAAAATGTTTTGTGATGTCTCGGGTGGAGTTCCATTGAGCCCATCTACCACTGACGTGTTGTCCAGGCAGACATATAGCTGTTTTCCGTGTCCAATTGCCCTGGCTGCTGCAAGACCTTGGAGAGCACCATGGACTTCAGCATCTACTACTTCTGCTTGTAGAAGTCTGCCCCTTCCCCGGTATACTTCTTGTGTAGTGCCGCCTTTCCTGATGGTATAACCCCATCCAGTGCGGATTGTGCCTTGGTCATCCAACTGTGATCCATCTGAGTAGATGACAAGGTCAGTGTTCACGTTTCTCTCTTGTAACCATTGCTTGAAGAGCTCTGTTTCTTTGTCTTTGTCTTTGCGGATTGGGCGCTTCTTCCATGATGGCCTGGTAAGTATTGGTCTCTGGAAGTCAGGGACTAGCTGGAAGCTCCTTTGTAGCCTTGTTGGATCCTTGCGAGCTTGTATTTGGAGCCTGCCAACCAGAGGGTGTCTCTGATCTATTCGACCTAGTCGGAGGCCGTGACGTCGTCTTATTGTCTCTGCAAGAACTCCTGCTGGGGGAATCTGCGATTCAAAGTGTAAGATATGTCCAGGGTGTGTTTTCCAGACTGGCAAGATAGCCCTGATCGCCGTTCGTAGTACGGCATCTATTGTTCCAAGAAGCCCCTTAATGCGACATGCTGATGTCTCACCTAAGCTCCCAGCTTTCTCGATTCCTGGGTACCAGGCCTCCAGGCCATGTGTGAGAATAGGAATAACACAAGCTTTCACAGCCCTCTTGGTTGACTTTACTGGAAGTCCTTTGACTGTGTTGCATAGTCCTCGAAGGTGATTTACTACCCTACTAGCTTTCTTGGCCCAGTAAGAAACATGGTCTTTGAAGTTTAGTTTCCTATCCAGAAGGACACCTAGCCATCGCATGGAATGCTTAGCTGTTTTGTTCATTATTCCGTGGCAAACTGGGGGATTGTCTGAGTTCTTTTTGCGTGAGAAGTGCATGATCTCGGTTTTGTCGGGATCAAATTCAATAGCATTATTATGTCCCCATTGGTTGAGTAAATGAAGGTTTTCAGAAGCCTCTGTAGCTGTTTCTTCAAGGTTCTTTCCAATGCAGAGTGTTGCTAGGTCATCTGCATATCCAAAGCGTCTTCTTTTCATGCCAAGTCGGGCACAGATTGGCTCTGTATACAGCATGTAGAGGATTGGAGAGACTGGTGAGCCTTGTGGGAGCCCACAAGTGAGAGCTTTTATATCGGTCACAGTACCTTCAAACCGAACTCTTGCGGACCGCTCGGACATGAACGACTGGACCCATCTTATGAGAAAGCCTGGCCAGCCCTGTTCTCTCATGCGAACCACCAGCCGTCCCATTAGGGCAGCATCAAAGGCCCCTTTCACATCTGATGTGACTACCGTTGCAACGAGGCCTTGGTCAAGGGCCTGCTCAATATCGTGTATGAGTGCAGCTACCAGGTCAGTGGCAGAGCGCTTTGGTAGAGCTCCAAAATGTTGTGGGGCTAGAATTCCAAGTTTGACAACAAACCAGGTAATTCTTTTCGCAATGAGTCGTTCTAGGCCTTTGCCAAGACATGACAGTAGCGATATTGGTCTGTAGGCCCTGGGATTGGAGTAGTCTTTCTTTCCTGGTTTTGGGATCATCACCACCTCAGCTACTTTGAATGGTTTAGGGTGGTGTCCAATCAGTAGGCAGGTCTGGAAAAGGGCTCTGATATGTTCACCAATGACTGGCCAGCAAGCTTTCAGAATCCGTACTGTGAGGGTATCTACTCCCGGGGAGTTGCTCTTGGTTCCTAAAGTGCACCCTTCAGCCTCTTCCAGTCCGACGTGGTATTCAAGGGGGATGTATGGCTTGGGTTGTATGATCTGAGCGGACCAGGGGTCGATGATATCGTTGTCTGAGGTACTTTGTTCAAGCGTGGCTGAGCGTAATGCATTTGCCTTGCTCTCTTGTGACTCGAATATTTGGTCTCCTATGATGATTGGAGGGGAACGCAATCCTGCTGATAACTTGTGCCAAGAGACGATTCTGTATAGGTCCTTTGGCTCAGTTGCTGAATTGATTAGAGTCTGCCAGTACTCTCTCCTAGCTTTCCGAACCACGCCGCGAAATTCCCGTCGGGCTGAATTCCGTCCTTCGTGGCTTGTAGTCTGTTTGGAAAGGGCCCTGTATGTCTGAACAGCTGCTTTGCAGTCATCATTCCACCAAGCAGTGGGCCTAGATTGACGGGGCCTCTTGCCCACTGTCCTAATACAGCCTTGGATCATGTTGATCAGGCTTTGTGTAAAGGTGTCCACCTGGCCAGGGGATGCACCCAGCTGGGGGAGTTCATGAATCCTGGTTTGGACATTATCTGCCAGCTCCTGTAGTTTATCGTCCGGTACTATCCAATGATTGGCCTTGGGTACTCGGTCCAGATCTCCCTGGATTGGAATGACTATTCGTAATGTCTCATGGTCTGAGGTGCACTGAAGTGCATCATTGACTGAGGCTTCAGCCATGGGGACATCAGAGAACACCAGATCTAGTACATTTCCGTCATCATGTGTCGGGACATCTGGTTCAGAAATCAGATCCAGTCCATGGTCTGCCATAGTTTGTGCAAGTATAGCACCACCATGATATCCTGGATTGCTTGAGTCCCAGGATGTGTCGCCAGCATTGAAATCTCCAGCTATAACGCAGCCAAAAGGTGGAGTCCATACTTCCAGAATGTCATCCACTTCCTGTGGGTTGTCACATGGCCGGTAGACACTGGCAAATGTAATGCCTTGTACCTTGACCCAGGTGATGTCTCGTGTAGCATAGGGCCGAAGTTGATCCGCTTGAAGGTATTTTCTCACATAGATGAGAGATCTGGGCCGTGTACTGTCGCTGTCCCAGGAATCCACTGGGGAGTATATATCGTAATTGGGGTGTGTCTTTACTCCCATTCTCCTGCCTGGTGGTATGCCAACCCAGGGCTCTTGCATCAGAATGATGTCTGCTTGTTCTCCTTTATAGTCAGCCAGGTTGATGGCTAACTCTGTAGGGCCTGCACTCTTTTGTCCTCCTGCTGTGTTCACAGAATGGATGACTAGATGCCCGTGTCGATGTGTTTCGTTCGGTGTACCTAACATTGACTGACAACAATGGTATCGGCATCTCTGGGATGAGTTGTATCTGTTGTGTCGATTTGCATTGTGGTGTCTTTGTTATTATTGCTAGGTGTTGACCCAGCTTGGTTTCTGCCTGCTTCGTTGAAGGCCTTGGATCTGGCTCTTTCTCCGGCTAGCCTTATTTCCTGGATTTGCTCCCATGTGTGCTTATGGATGGTACCTTTCACAACCTTGGGGCGGGCAGGGCATTTGTCGAAGTTGGCAGCATGAGGTCCTTTGCAGTTGACACACTTTGGGATTGGTTTTTCGCACTCTCCCTGGTGTACTGTGTTGGCGCAGTGTGCACATACTTGCTTTTCGCATCGGTAATTCCTACCATGGTATCTGAAGCAGCTTGCACACTGGTGAACCTTGGGGGTGTGTTGAATATGCCTTGAGGTCATTGAGTGGGCAAAAAGCGTAAATGGTTTCCTTGCTGCACTGGGCAGAGAGATTATCCATGTAGTTTCTGGATCAGAATCAATCGTGTTCTTTGAGAGTATGCACCTCAGAGGTCTGTCGCCTGTTTGGGCTTCAACTTCATCGGCAACAACAGTGTCAGTAATATCGATTGTGAACCCTTCTGCACTGATGACCTTTCTTGGGCATCCATTGACCTTGTAATGATGCCAGACTGTGTGGGTCTCAATCTTTTGTGCCTTGAGAATGTCGGCAATTTCTTCTTGGAAAGCCAGAAGCTTAGCCTGAGTTGGCTTGTCCCTTGGGTGTAAGGTAAAACCAGAAGGACACCGTGTCACTTCTCTAAGCTCCTGAGGGTGGAGCTTAAGTCTTCTGTTCAGTGTAGACTTGATTCCATA